CCCACAACACGATGAGAAAAAAAAAAAAACACACCTCCCCCCCCCCCCCCCCCCCCCCCCCCCTTAAAAAAAAGAGAAAAAAAGACAAAAGAGGGAAAACAAATGTATATATATACAAAGGCTTGCAAAGCCCTTAAGTTTCAACTCAAGAGTACCTTGCTAGTTTCTCGGAATTCAACACTATAATAGATATTTTGCCATTGCTCCCAGTCTTTCAGCTCGATGTAACCGCAGCCTACTCTATGAAATATGAATCGGCCATCCAGTAAATGACCTGTCTTCTCAACAAATATACCCAAAACAAAGTCGCAAGACTTAAGGGTGGCCGGATCTCTCCCACTATCAGCCATCAAGGGGCAAAAGGTCACGTGAGCACCCTGAGTGGGATTTTGATAGTCATCCAGGAAAGCCGTGAATTTTCTGGCACAGTCAATGATCCTGGAATATGCTGTTGGGGCGAAGGTATAGACCGTACCGTCGCTCTCATCACGATGCAGCTGCAACTGTCCTTCCATTTCATAGACCTGAAGTTGGAGCAGGATGGTGGAAATTTGCTGATGACCTGTGCCTGGGCTTTGTATCACGTATCTTTCGAATGAAGCGAGGGGGGAGGTAACCATTGTCCCAAAGACTTCATGCTCGAAAGATATCGGTCCGTCCATAGAGGCCCAACTCCAGGAAGGAAACTTGACCCCGTTGGTCCATCTCCCATCAGAGGCTACTTGAGATCTTCTGGTTGCCCTGCCCCTTTTGAGGTTTACGTGTATCCTGCCAACACTCCAATATAAGCTTCTAATCAAGCTCTTGTTGAAGTGGCCCCAGATGCATATATCGTCCATTGCCTGGCCCAAACGTAAGGCCACTGCAGACAACGCCACAAGCTTGTCTGATTCTGGGAACGTGAGGTCACGGTTGGTATATTCCTCCACAACTCGGAACCAGACAGTGGTGAGGGTCCAATTGTCTTTTGCCTCTATCGTTGACGGGACCGACGTCAGTTGCAGACCTTGAAAGAAGTTATCTTCGAGACTCAAACCATCCGGGAACGACTCGCATGCGTGTTGGCATTCGGCACAGCTCCAAAACAACTCTCCGCAACCGAACCCGAGAACACGCGGCGACAACAATCTTTCTTGCAACGCCCACCCTCGGGAACCCAGTGGTTGGCGATAGAGCGCGTCTTCATAATAGCTGGAAGAGAAGACGACACATGAATGATGAATAGACTCATCTCCATCGAAAATACATCTTGTATCAACTTCAGTGGGCGCATAAAAGGTGGCACACCCCCTCGGAATGTACTCTCATGCGGATTTGCAGCTCGGTACAGCGCAAGGCAAAGTATGCTGTTTGAGTATACGTCCGCCATTCGTGAGGACTCATGGGCCCAGTCTTCAGTACTTCCGGGCCCACTCTGAATAATACACAGCGAATCGATCCAGATGTACAAGATATCGAGGCATCGTACGGCTCTGAGAGCTTCACAGAAAGCTATCGGAAGCTCATCGTCGGCGATCCCTGCCCGCAGCCTATTTTGGTTCCAAGCGGTGAGACGGAGGAATGAAGGATTCGAGCCCCAACAATAGCTGAGTGCAGCATACGGCCCAGAAATCGGTGTCGTCTCGGGATCGATGAGCCGCAAACCTGATTTATCTATCTCCAGCAAACGGGTGGGATACGACTTTGGTTGGCCTTTGACGCGACATTCTGCATGTCCTGTCAAGCACGTACTCATCCAATACCGCACCGCCTTCAAGGCTTCCGGTTCAGGTATGATGCCGTTCCTAACAGCGACGCTGGAATTGACGTTTACGGATGATTTTGGATGAACACGGAAGTGGCGCGAGAATATACCGCCTGTCTGATGTAAAATAGTGAAAGTGAGCCGAGCAAAGGACTCAGAGCCTGCTCGATTGAAGGCAGTCCGATACATCCATGGGCCCGTGAAGATATCGAGTGAGTCATGCATGTCCAGTGTTCGAAGAAGCAATTCGCCGCAAATACGACACCCGCTCGCGGCTGACCTGGAGAGCGAGATGCTATCTTGATGATGGATCTTGTATCCCAAGTCGAACGCGATTCCGTTGAATGTGAGACCACGGAACATCGGCATGCATACATTGCAAAGCATACTTCTCCAAGTAAGATACCAATCTAAAAAGTTCGATGTAGTTGGCGCTGGAGTTGAAATTGTCTCCTGATCTGGTACTACACTACTTAGGTGAAGTTGGGAAGACTTGAGAAGACCACGTCGTGGAGTAGCGAACAAGACTCGTAGTTGAAGACATTGTTGTATCAGAAATGTGATGTTGCTTTTCTATGAAACGGACGAATCACTTCGAATAAGAAGATGATTTCTCACCGAAAATTACCACGTTCTTTCTGCTGATTCGTACATGTGCCATGAGATCTTGACGGACTACTATTGGATGCCTTAGCCGTGTCGTCACTCCCGACTCTGCGGAACGCCACAAAATTTAACTTCATGTACGCTGGAGGTGAGTAGACTCCCTCTTGTTTGAAATATCCTCTAGTCTTACTCCAATAGTGCTGATCAAAGACGATACTAGCAGAGACGGCCATACTGCAGCCTGCAGGCGCCGGTAATGATCGGGTTTGAATCCACTTTAGAAGTAACTGCCCGACCACGGAAGATGAATGGTTCCTAGATGATAAAACGATAATTTTGATCAGTACAAGTGTTAGAAGAAACATGATAATAGCAGCATGGCAGAAGGCATGCCAGCCTCTCATGAGAGTTGAGAATCGTGCATCAACGCTAAAAGGCAAAGACCCATTCTAGCTTTTCTTCAAGGTCCCACTGACCTCTTAATCTATGGCCTCGAAACACTTTTCTGCAATTTCAATCAGCACAATTGCTCGGATTTTGAGATCCACGGACTATGAAGTGGCATTGACCCGATTTCTCCGACCTACTCGGGTCTCGTGGAGGCGGTGAATGTTGGATGCTGTAATCTCTTTAAGCTTTTTATTTTCTCAACCCGGTGGGATGTAGATTGCATATTGAGTCACAATCTCGTTCTTCTCGAATTATCTCTGAGGTAAGTGAGGCGAAGCTAGAGTATATAAGAGCCGCAAGGTTGCAGCTCCGACTGATGTAGTATTTAATACTCATGCGAAAGTACACTCCGTCCATTAAACAATTCGCCAAGCGCTCATCCGATTGACCGTTGCCATCGACTCATCTTCAAAATGCTCTCACAATACATCTTCGTCATCATCGCGTAAGTAACTTAGCTAAGCCTCTATTAATTAACCCCTGCCAATATGAATACACGCTTACCTTGTCACCCACAGCGCATGCGCTGCCGGCTCGTTCGCATCTATCGCGACCTGTAAAGGAAGCTTCTACGCCGGCGCCTGCCAGGACATCTTCGCACCTGGAGCTCGTCACGACGCACTGACGCAGAGCTGCTGCCAACCTCCCCATGGTACAACTTACCATGATGGCCCCGGAACATTTGTTCGTCCTCCGCTACTTAGTTTGGTTTAACAGAACAATGATAGCTGACATCTCATCTAGTGCTGCACCAATGCCGACTCCTCAGCTATTGCCTACTTGTCTTCATGCTGTTCCAACGGCGGGAAGAGACAGATCAACTTCAACCCCGTGCGTGGCGACTGAGTTCTTGATGTCGCAGGTCCTCTCTAGTGCATTTGAGTGAGGCTATTGGCAATAGAGCTGAACATGAGGAGACAAGAGGCCCTGCGAACAGGCTATCTGGGCACATGTGTCCCACTATCTCTCTTTTCTTTTCTGGATTACTTGTGTTAATTGTGTTGTAAGTCCGCACTACGGAGTATATTAGTATCGAGGGGCGCGGAGCAAGCTTAACAATGCATTGGCGCGCAGAAGACTGAATATTCCTGCTGACCAGACCTTCCTTTCTGCTCGAAAAGGGGCCGAGAACCCTCAAAAGCCAGTGCAAAGCTTATTTTATACCTAATAGCAAAGCTCGATTGCACGCACATGCAGTTGTATCTACAAAATTGATGGATCTCAAGTCATCCTTGTTTGTCGGTGATGGCTCGTTTCACATTCTACCCAAATCGGGGTGATATACCCGCCCAGGGCCCCATCGCTTGTCATTCTTGGTCCTTGGCTCCCCACGAATTCTATCACATGGCGCTGAGGGACGTTCCGCCTTCCAAATCAAGCACTCAAGGTGTTCTACTCCGCCCAGATGCTAACACGGGCGAATTATTGCTCCGACTATCATGTTCGCGGACGTTGACTTGAAATATTCAAGACCACTGCGTGTGAAGTTGCAAGCATTTTCATGAATGGTGCAATCACACTGGACTGAGTGTCTCATAAAGCTGGCCCTCACTGATGCGACTTCCAGCACGTAGTAGTGGCAGGGCTACATCTTTCCGCCGCATAATTATAAATCTCGAACCAGAGGCTCTGTATTCTACTACAACCTTCAATCAGATGAAGAGATCCAGACTAAGTAGGAGTCATAAGTTTTCGACCTCACGTTGCTCTACGCGCGGGTGGGATGGCCGAGGCCAAGAGTGTCACCTAGACGCTGATCGTTTGTCATTCGTGACCTGTCAGGCTGTGCAAGGATCAACACTTCGCTTAGCCACATCGATACTATCTTGGCTTCTGACAAAGCAATTAAAGTGAGAAGCAACCAGAAAGTTATGTGGGATTTCCTCCTTTGATAGACAACAATAGGAGAGTTGGCAAACTTAAAAAGAACAACTGAATCGAACCGATGTGACCGCGTGAAATGATTCGAGGGGTGTGCGGGCAAGTGGACTAATACCGCCCACCTTCTCACCTTTACAGTGTTCATCCGGAGTGATCCAACCCCTGGGCCAAGACAACTCGGGCTATGTACCGATTCTCTCATAAGACGAACATATTCCCAGTTTTCTAGATAGCCTTTCTCATCATCAACCATTCCATCAACTCACTCAACCCAACCTCAATCACTCTTCAAAGTCCTCTCAAGTTCCAAATCTCAAACATGAAGTTCTCAATCGTCGCCGTTGTGCTTCCCCTCATCGCGGGCACGAGCGCTGCCCCGTCAGTTGTTGAGCGCCAATCCCCTGCATGCGTGGCCTACAGCGGCAAATTCCCCCACGAGCTTGTCTGGGGGCAGTGGTTCCTTTGCTGCAACTACAATGGTCCCGATACCGCAGTACGTCAATTTCAGTCTTCAACAACCATGGCTTTCTCAAGTGGCGTTACGTCTTTGCTAACGAGGCCATAGACCTACCAGAACTGCTGCGACAGACAGGGTGCGGGAACTGGAAGCGGTTTCCCTGGGTGTGCTTAGACTTAGAGCTTATGCATTCGGTTCTTGTAAATAAAACTCTCGCAATGTTTGCGGGCTTTCACAACAATCAACTCTAATTGCCGCCATAATTTTTTTATACCAAATCCTAGCCTTCTTAACGAGAAAGCTAAAATATCATTCGCCATGGAATGGAAGACTCCGCTGAATATTGCAAGTTACTTCACCATATGCTAGTACATTTCTGTAGCGGCAAAATGTTGAACTTGCTTTCGTCAACAATCAGTATCGAGGTGCCATGCTTCCATAAGTATAATGACCACGGAAATAAGGACCACAACAACTACTAGTACATACAAGTCAACACGCACTACATAGCGCTCTCCGGAGAGCTAAAGTGGCGTACATTGTCGCGCTTATACGCGCGTTCACGGCAGTATTTATTTACTACAACTATACTACATACATTTTATTACGTAACAGGGATAGTAATCGCACCTCACGAAGTGCCCGTTACGTACTAGATCACGTATCTATCTTAGATATTATATATATAGACCTTTTCTTTTTATCTATTTCTACTTTAATAATTAAACTATTTTTATTATACTCCGTATACTTATTACTATATATTATAACTTATAATAATTATAAACTTAGTTCTTAGTTAAGACCTTATATTATAATAACGTACTTATTAATATAATTTTTACGATTTTTTTAAAATAATTGATTTATTTATACTTATTTTAACCTAAGTTAAATTAATTAATTATAATAATTAAATTAAATAGTTTAATATACTTCGTATTATAAATAAGAGCGTCGGGGTTTAGAAATACGTTAACTTAAATACTCTAAACTTTAATATATTCCTTAACCCCTCTATAACGCTTATTTTACTTTTTAAATTTAAATAATTAATTATAACCTATAATAAAAAAGAACTACGAGCGTATTAAGCCTATTATAAAATATTTAAAAATAATTAAAAAAACTAAGAAATCCTCTATTAGTAGTTTTTAAATATAATTCTTAGTATAAACTTTTTAACTTCCTCGAGTATAAGTAATTTATAAAACTAAACCGGGGTTTTTTTTATAAACTAATTATACTACTTATTTTATATAAATAAATTTATCCCTATATTATATTTATAAAAAGGACTTATATACTTAAGAGTATTTAAAAATAATAAAAGCTTAATATTAAATATAAGTAATTTATAGTTTATAAATATAATATTATTAATACGTATATTAAAGTCCTCGCTTAGTAATTAATAAAATTAGTTAATATTATATTATATAAATACGTATTTTAAAAAGTTATTAAGAACGGTACTAAGTTTAGTATATAATAAATCGTTAAATATTTAAAATAAGAATTTACGCCCCCCGAACTAATAATAAAGAATATAGTTTAAAAAGAATATTAATAAACTTTTAATAAAGCAAGGACCGGAATTAACTTTTAATATTAGTATAAAAAGTAATAATTTACTTATTTTTAAGCTAAGATATACGATATTTTAAAAATTAATAAAGAGATTATTATACTTAACTTCTTAGTTATAATTAAGTCTAAACTTAACCCTATATAGGGCTAACGTATATATAAAACCTTTAGTAAATTAATAGCTTTTAGAACGTATATAAGGACCCTCGAGGAGATTACGTATATATTTAGCTTAGTAACTTAGGATATATATACTAAATAACTTTTAAATTAAAGAGGGGCTTATTCTATTTTTACTAAACGCTCTAACTTAGTTAATAACGTAAATAATAAAAATAATATTATATACTTTTATAATTACGTATACTTATAGTACTTTATAATATACTAAAAATTAAAATAAATATTTATAAATTAAAATATTAATAAGTTATTAATATGAATATTAAGGAGCTATATAAAAGAAGTCCTTACTATTATTAAATTAAATAAATAGAAATTATTTTATAATAAGCTTAAAAAAGCTAGTTAGCTAAGGAATAATAAAACTTTTAAAAAACTTAGGTTTTTAAAAGGATCCTCTAACTAACTTATAGCGGGCTTATTAATAAATTAGAACAAGGGCTACGTAATTACTATACTTATAAAAAGTTAAGACTTAGAAATAAATATAATTTTTAATACCCTTATAAGTAATATTTACTCCCTTTTTTAAAATATAATAATAAATAGTTATAAAATAATATATTTAGTTAATAATAAGAGCCTATTTAAACTTAAGAGTTACGTATTATTAAATAATAAAGATTATATTAAATTAAGAACTATTATATTACTTATTATTATACGTAGTACTTATATTATAAAAGGCATTTTAAACGGACTTAAGAAAAAAAGAACTTATAATTTAAAACTCTAGAACGTCGCTTATATTAAGGGATTTTATATTAATATAATTTTAAAAACTTTATTAAATAGAAGCGCACTTTAGTATTACGGTTTAGATTATACTTTATAATAGGGAACGTTTTATAAAAGTATTATTAAAAAGTAGTTTATTTAAAAAAATAATTTAGTTTTTTTTAAATATAAGCTCCTCTAATCCTATCTTTTTTTTATAAACTTTAAGTATATTTTATAGAGCTTAGTTAGTATTATATTACTAATTAGCTATAGAAAATTTTATTACTTATATTAACGTACTCGTAAAAAGTTTAATAGCGCGCTCTTTTAGTACTTTAAAATAAGTTATTTTAAACCTAATATTTTTTATTAATTACTATATAAGACTTAAAGTATGTAATAGTTTTTTTTCTAGCTTTATAAGTATAAAAGATCGACCTTAACGGGATTACGCTTTTAAAAAAAATTATATAATATAATATACTTTTTAACTATATAATCCGCGTAATATATCCTAAGTACGCGCTTAACGTAATATAGTAATTTTAATATAAAAACCGTTATTTAATTTAGGATAGGTAAGCTACTTTATAACGGTACTAGCTAAAAAAGTCGATAGTAAAGGTCGGCTATAATAATTAGCCGTAATAATTAGCTATTATAGTCGGCTATAATAGTTAGAGGCGGCCTTTTTTAATTATAGAGGTTTTAAACTTTAATAACGACGTAGAGGTTTTTAGAAAAAGGGCTAAATAGGCTAATATTTATTACTTTTTAGAGCTCGTAAAGATTTTTTTTATCCTTATCGCTTTTAATATTACCTAAAGCTGCTCTCTATTTAAACTAAATAAATTTACTAAATAAATTTACTAAATAAATTTACTAAATAAATTTACTAAATAAACCTATTAATATATAAACTACTACTTAGATAGCTAGTTAGATAACTAGTTAAGAGGTTAGCTAGTTAAAATACTACCTCGACGAGAACTTAAAAATACTTATTAATAAGTCTACCCCTCTCAGGCTGGGCGCCCTTAGCTAGCTCGATACTATAGCTATCGTAACTAACGTAAGTATACTTAAGAAGTAGCAAAGTACTTTTTAATAATACGGAATTTAGCTAGGTAATATTATAAGTGCTATAGATAGCTAGGTTAGTACGGATATTAAGATTTAGTATATTAACGCTAGCCTAGTTATAATAGTTATAATAAATAAGCTAGAGGTATATAAGGTTAGGGCAATAAGCTAGCGCTTTAAATAGCTCTTATAGGACCCCCTAGGTAATAATAATACTTATATAAAAGAATAGATTATACTAAACTTAGTTATTTATATAGGTTAATATTAGGAGGTCTTATGCGTATTAAAGTAGGTAAAGCTTATTTTATAAATAGGTAGCGGAAAGTTAGGAGCTATTTTAATTAGTAATTAAGTATAGAGCGTAATATACTTAGTTTTTCTAATACGTAATATACGGTACGGCCCCGGCGGATTACTCCGTCGGGGGGAAGACTTAAAGTATACGTATTAAACTTTTATTATAAGTTAAGTATAAAATATATATATTATTTAAAGCTAAAATAATAGTTTTAAAAAGACTACCCTTAAAAAGAGCTTTATAGCTATAGTATTATATATACTAAGATCTTTTTTATTTCGAACTATTTCTAAGTAAATAATAATATATACTTATAGCTTTTAATAAATATAATAAGTAGCTTAGGGGGTTCTTTTTAAAAATTAAAATAGAAGAGGAAGTACTTTTCGTATTATAAAGCCTCGAAGTAGTAATTTATTATTAAAAAGGGACCCTAATTTACTTTTTTAAAAGTAATAATAAGACCGCCCTCTTAATTATAAACGTTAAATATATATATAAAATATAGTATAACAAGCTAGGAATCGGAATAGAACTTTTACTTTTATATATAAAAAAACCTATAAATAATACTAAAAAAGTAAGTTAATTTATAATTATTAAAGCTTATAAAATGCGCCTTTTTACGAACCTCTTTATAAATTTATAAAACGAAATAGTATTAATAGTAATTTTTATTTATAATATTACCTTACGGGAGGCTAATAAAGGAGATTTGCTTATTATAATAAAAATTAATTAATAAAAACAGTATTAATATTAATAATAGACGGGTTACTAAGTACGGGATTCTAAACTAGTTATTTTATATCTCGGTAGTTTTTATATATATAACTACTAAGTATACCCTCTTTATAAAAATTATAAGAGGGGTATATATTAAAAAGAGTTTAAAATACTTCCCTGCAAGTATATAGGATACTTAGTTAGATATATATTAAAAATATATAATTTATATAGGGTCTAAGTACCCGTGCTTAAATAGGTATTTATTATAAAGAATATTAAGTTTAATAAAAAAGTCTTTTATAATCCTATATATAAAAAGTAAACTATTATAAATAAATAAGTAAATTTAGTAATTTAAGAAATATAAGAACTTTTTAATATTAATAATAAGCTAGTTTAAGTACTTAGAGAAGTAGATCTAGACTTTAAAAATACTAATACTTAAAATAATTCTATAGTTAAGGATAATATTATTATTAAATTTTTAACTATTTAAAATGCTAAGTAACTAATAGACGTATTTTAAAATATAATTAATAAGGCTAAAAAGGTTAATATAATCTTATTA